GGCCCTGCACGGTGCATGCGCGCGCAGGGCGCCCTGCCGAGCCGACCGCTTCCGACTTTAATGCAGCCACACCCACGGTCCCCGGACACACTGCAGAGGTGAACCGGATACGGTCAGCTAGCGCACCCCTAGGGCATAATACAAGCCCTCATCGAGCTCAGGGCTGCCACAGAATGTCACTGGCACTCTAAAATGGGCCAGGCTGCGTGTATATGCATGCTTATATTATAACTGAGTCCAACGGGGTTGGTTTTATTGGTTCACAGCAAAAATACCCAAATGTTATGTGACCTTTCCTGGCCAAGTCCGAACGGATCACTTCCGTTACACTATTATGCCCACCTTGGGAAAACCGTCCAAAAGCTGTTGTGGGGGTCACTGACTGACGGATGACATGTTTGAATCTTTTCATGCGTGCGTGTGGATGTGTGTGTTCAAGATCCAATAAGTGTGCGTGCACGCTCGCGATTGTGTGTGTCTTTGCTTTGCACCCGTCTTTGCCTAATGGAGCCGTTCCATATATAAAACAGTCGTTGACATTGATCGGTACAGGCCTGCCCAGGCCTACCCTATGCTAGAGAGACTAGGCTGGGCGTAGCGTTTGGGTAGGGGGTGGTACACTCACAGGGGGGGGGGGGGGGAGGAATGCGAGCCACTGTGTGATTCGAGGGATCGACAACTCGCATTCTCTTCTGTGCGTACTCGCTATATACCTAAGCTGTACTGCGTACTCTGACTGTGCTCGTGTGTACACTAGAATGCCGAGTTTCCGACCCTTTACTGTTACTCTCGTATCCCCTACTCATATATTTCAATAAGTTGTTTTAGCATGCCGTTATTATTAAAGTTAACAAACTCTTTCATTTGCAGGTAAGGCTGCGAAGGACTGCGTAGTGCGTTCAGAGCGGTGAGTTTTACATCTTTGACGCTTTATCTATAACGCTCGAAAAGGTTGTTAATCCGCGTAGATTGAACCAATCTGTGTAGAAAGGCTCAAAAGTATCTCGGACACACTTGTTTTTCTTTCCTTTGACATTGCACCAGCACACTCACAATGCATAACTTTGCATTCACAAGCGCAGAATAGTGCTTTTTCAAGTTCTGGTGAGCTTTGGCTGACACTACAATCGAATCAAGCAGCTGTGCTAAAGTCGCAGTTGTAGGTACCTGACCTCTCGAAATCGTGGTGAGGAAATATTGTCGGAAATTAAGGTTGTCATCGTTGCCTAGTTGTTGCCCACGCCCCACGTCGCTCCCGGTCGAATCGCCATGCACTGACCCCGACGCTGAGTACCACTTTGCCGTTGTGCGGCGTCGGGACGTTGTTGCGTGGCGGGAGTCCACTGACCCTGCCCCCTCTCTCTGCCACACTCTCTCCCTCTGACCGCTGCTCATCCTCCTTGGCCTTGACACTGAGGTAAGCGACTCTGTTCCCGCTTATGTAAACACCAGCTGTCTGGACGAAAGGGTCAGAAGAAGAAATCTACTGTTTTTGTTTTCTATTCCACTTCCTTCCTCCCAGTGTAAACGTATTACAATTTAATATACGAGGTGCCTATTTTTCCATAGGCCCTTTCCGTGTTTTTGGTTACAATTCTACTAAACAGAAGAGTTGTTTGAACAAGAATATGTTTTTTCTTCCCATTTAAGCACTATAGTTCATTTTTTGAAAGATGATAAGCCGAAAATGACAACGCATAGATTGTGTAAAAGGCTTAAAATTAAAAATTGGCAGAAGTACCCTCTATAACCGACTTTACGAGTCGAAACAGAATCTTCTTTAGTTTGTATGAGCCCTTTTCTAACAATCACGAAAAACTCGATTTGAACACAAAAATCTGACATCAATGGAACTTGTAAGTAGCCTCACTATCTTCAGTCCCGTTTCCCATTATGAAGTAATTAGTCTTCAGTAGTTTCGGTGAGGATGTCAAATTTAGGGGACGTAAGGACCCATCTCCGTATTAACTTCTAAGTAATATAATATATAGTATATAGTAGGCTACATAGTATATAGTAGGCTACATAGTATATAGTAGGCT